TGTTTCGACTGTTTATAGTGGTCTTTCGCTAATTTTTATTAAAAAAACAAAACCTCGATTGTAATCTTAAACGACTAAAAATCACTTTCTTTCGAAGCGTGCGATCTTTTTGTCGCGGAGTGTACTATATTTAACAATATCCTGGCAGCGTAATCACGCCTCGATGACCGGTATCGAGGAAACGATTAGCGAATTCGGAGAAACAATCCCGAACACCGAAGAGAAAACGGTCCGGGGACCGTGCGAAATCCTCGAGGGCTAAACAGGATTCGTTGCACTCGTCGTGATTCGATTTCTATAGGAGAGAGAACAGTGTTTTCGAAATTTCCAGCGGCGGCCGAAGAGCGGCCAATAATTGCTTGGAATCCAATCAGCGCGGCCGGCGCTCGGTCTCTCCGTATGAAAACGTCGATAATTCATCGGAGATACGACGCGCCACGGCAGACCTAATTACAGAGATAATTAGATCGATGTTCGTGGGGTGAGTGAGTGGGGTGGTTGACGGGAAGGAGACGGAAGAGGGCGGACGTTCGTCGCAGTTGCTGCTGTTTTTGTCGTTCGCCGGTGTAACAATATTGTTCGGCCGGAGACGCGATTAATTGTCGACGCACTCGATCGAAGCCCGTCCGATCGAAGGTCGCGCCCGGTCGATCGTCCATCGATCCTTGCGCCGAGAGAGATCTGGCCGAGAGATTTCGGGCTGGAACGGAGCGGCGACGATACACAGAGTGTCATCGTTGCCAAAGGATTCTGCAGCTTTGAATTACCGATTGCTCCCTTCGATGCCTAATTAGTTCCGCTGTTAACACCTGCCGACGCGTGTGCTCGACATCGCCGACCTGTTTCGCTCTCCTATCTCGTTGTTTCCATTCCAAATATTTGGGAAGCTGAACGGGACGTTCCGTCCGACTCTCTGTTAATTAATTGTTGAATTGTTTTGGTTCGCTGGGGGATGTGATGGGAGGCCAGTGGCTCTTCCAACTGGCAAAGTGAAATTGTTTGTTAAAAATGTACATATTTGTATTCGACGATTTGGAATTCGCAAACAATAAATTTATTGAATGAAGCTGACGAGATATGTTAATGAACAATAAATTAATTAAAAGAATGAGGCAACGCGAATCTTCTTCTAGCCAGCCAAATCAAATTCATTCTTAATGTGTTTTTCGCTAAGTGAATTTTTAAAGGTGTACATTTTTATTTGACAATTCTAAATCGACAAACAATGACTTAATTAGTAGAAATAGACAACGCAAGTTGTCTCTTCGTTCTATTGGGTTGGCAACTAAGTAATTGCCGATTTCAGTTATAGATGTCTCTCACTCCCATTTTTATGATATCCGTAAATGTTAGATTATAAAATTATTATTATTATTATTATTATTATTATGTTATTTTTTATTATCCGTGAATGTTAGCAACTGGACAAATTGAATGCAGCGGTCAAGGAAAAGCGACCAGAATTGGTCAATCGTAAAGGTGTCATTTTCCAGCAGGACAATGCTAGGCCGCACACGTCTTTGTCCACTCGGCAAAAATTCATAAAGATTTTGTTTTTGTTTGATTCTGTATGATCAATATGATTTTCTTTGAGTTTTCGTTCGATTCTTTTTTCTTGCACTCGACGATAGTCTTATGTTTCAATTTGATACTATTTAGTCCCGTTTCATTCAATTTGCCTTGATTTTTCCTAACTCTGTATGGACTTAGTTTGATTCTGCTTGATTCGCTGTAGATTTATTTAATTCTGTTTGATTTCCTCTAGTTTCATTTCGTTTTATTACTTACTAGTTTGCTTCTGTTTGATTCCGTTCGATTCAATTCACTTCCCCTCTTGCCCTTTGGCTCCGTATAACTTTAGTTTATTAGGTTGGCAACTAAGCAATTGCCGATTTCAGTTATAGATGTCTCTCACTCCCATTTTCATGATATCCGTAATTGTTATATTATAAAATTATTATTATTATTATTATTATTATGTTATTTTTTATTATCCGTGAATGTTAGTAACTGGACAAATTGAATGCAGCGGTCAAGGAAAAGCGATCAGAATTGGTCAATCGTAAAGGTGTCATTTTCCACCAGGACAATGCTGATGAAGAATATTGCTTGGGAATTGATGTTACACCCTCCATATAGCCCTGATCTCGCGCCATCGATCCCTGGGCAACTCCCTTCGTGGTAAAACTTTTAATGACGACGACGCTGTAAAATCTCACTTAACTCAGTTTTTGGCCGAAAAGGATCAGACTTTCTACGAGCGTGGAATTTTCAAGTTGTCAGAGAGATGGCAAAAGGTCATCGAACAAAATGGAAAATACATTACAGATTAAACTTCGTTCCAAGTAAAAAAAATTTTTTATTTCATTGAACAAATCGGCAATTACTTAGTTGCCAACCCAATAGATAGCCGAATGCTTTCTTAATGTGTTTTTCGCTGAGCGAAGTTTTAAAAGTGCGCATTTTTACTCTACAATTCTAACGAACAGGAAATTAATTACACGAAGCAGGCAATGCAAGTATTCTAACCAGCAAAAAAGACATTGTTCATTATGCTTTTCTTCACTAAATTCTTGCATTTGTATTCTATGATACAACTGTTAATCTGTAGATGATAAATTAATTCATTCTAGCCAGCAAAATGAAATGGTTTTTCACTCTGTTCTTCACCGAAGAATTAATACAAATAAAAAAATTCGTATTCTACAAATTCTTGGTCTACAAACAATAATTAAATTGAATCAGTGAAATAATGGTAGTTTTCTAGCGAGCAAAATAAAATTGTTCCTCATTCTATATCCTTCACTGAACAATTTTTAAAAATATGCAATTATAATCTACAGCTTTCAGTCTACGAAAACAGTGAATTAATTACATCAAAATGACAGCCGAAGCCTCTTAAGCAGCAGAATCAAATTGCTGCTCCCTCTATTCTTCCCTGAATAATTTATAAAAGCAAAAGATTGTATTCTGCAATTCTTGGTTTTCAAAGGACGAGATAATGAAGTGAAGCCGAATGAAACGAGTCGAACGATAAAAACCTCCCCATCCAGTAAAATAACGGTTATTGCTTGACATTAACTTGTGGTCTGACACCTGTTGTGGGTCTGCAGAATATTTTCGCAGCTGTTCGGAAGTAAGAGCCTCGTATCCGGCAACGCCGCTATTAGATTTTTACAGCGGTCGAGCAGCTGCCATTCACCGAGTCGAGTATGCTCGCTATCCGTTCGTCGATAACCGTCGAGACGTCGACGCGACGGGTCTTTTAGGGACGCTCGACGTTCGCGGAACTGCGTGTCCACGTCCTCGTCCTCTTTCGAAATCTTCCTTAACAACCGATCGTTGCTGTCGCGCGACTTACGACAGGCTGTTACAACGCTGTAACTGTAACTGTATCGTCGACAACGCGCCTTCGGGAACAGAGATGTCGACTGATAAGGACGAGCTGATAAGGACCGCGTCTTCGACGGCAGATCGAAGATTCTGACTGCGTAACAACGACGGTTCCAGCGACTCGGAATTTTCGTTAAAAATGCGCGGTGTTCCGACAGACGTCGGCTTAAACCTCGTTTTTCCCTGTTTCCGGACGGACGGAAAGTTCGAAGAGGGAAATGCAATTTTTAGAGTGTGAATTTTCCGCGACTGGAAGAAAATCGACGAAAGCTTCGCTTGGATAATCCGTTGTCAAAGCTTTTGCGATTTCATCGACGTAGCGACTGACGGCCGAGATTAACGTGTATTTTTTCTATTTAGTGGAAAGTAAGGAAATGGGAAAAATTAAATAACGAAATGTTTGATTTGGACACGATTCACTTTTATAACTGAGAAAATTATATAGCTGGGAGGTTTTTATTCAAAATCTGTTGTAGTTAATCTGATTTCCAGTTGAAATTAATCGGCTATTTAAAGTTAAGTATCATCTAAGTTTTTATTTAATAGTAATTACGATTTAATTCTGTTTAATTCTCTCTCTCTCTCTCTCTCTCTCTCTATTTAGTTCTGTTTGCTTCTATTTATTAATTCTATTTAATTGTATTCACTTTTATTCAGTTCTATTCAATTCTATTCAATTCTATTTAATTTTATTCAATTTTATTAAATTTTATTTAATTCTATTTGGTTCTATTCGATTCTATTCGATTCTATTCGATTCTATTCAATTTTATTAAATTTTATTCAATTCTATTTGGTTCTATTCGATTCTATTCGATTCTATTCGATTCTATTCAATTTTATTAAATTTTATTCAATTCTATTCGGTTCTATTCGATTCTATTCGATTCTATTCGATTCTATTCGATTCTATTCGATTCTATTGGAATTCTATTCGATTCTATTCGATTCTATTCGATTCTATTCGATTTTATTCAATTTTATTCAATTTTATTCGATTTTATTCGATTTTATTCAATTTTATTCAATTGTATTCCATTTTATTCGATTTTATTCGATTTTATTCGATTCTATTCAATTTTATTCAATTCTATTCAATTCTATTCAATTTTATTCAATTCTATTCAATTCTATTCAATTTTCTTCAATTCTATTCAATTCTGTTCAATTCTATTCAATTCTGTTCAATTCTGTTCAATTCTATTCAATTCTATCTAAAATTAAGCATCGACTAAATTTCTACATAAAATTAATTTTTCCTATTTCTATACTTTTCATTAAGTAAAAAATATACGTTAATTTTGACCCTCAGTCGCTACGTCGATAAAATCGCAAAAATTTTGACAACGCATTGTCCAAGTGAAACTTTCGTTGATTTTCTTTCAGTCGCGGGGGAAAGTCGTACTCTAAAAATTGTATTTCCCTCTTCGAATTTTCCGTCCATTTGAAATTAATTAGCATGTAAATATTTCTTTCACTAGCGAACATATAGATTCCGAGAAATATTGTCTTGCAAGTACAGCGAAGGATTAAAAAGGTTTTCTGGAGAGGCTGTGACGCACACGCTGGAACGCGATAAATTTTGCAAACGGTTTTTCTGTTTCCAGGGGCGGCGAGGTCTGGGAAATATTTACGTGTGGGCGTCAGGGGACGGTGGCGAGGAGGACGACTGCAATTGCGACGGATACGCGGCCAGCATGTGGACTGTCAGCATTAACAGCGCCATCAACGACGGCCAGAACGCGCATTACGACGAGAGCTGTTCGAGCACCCTCGCTTCGACGTTCAGCAACGGCGCCAAGGACCCTAAAATTGGCGTGGCAAGTACTCGCACGATTAACTTCGCTTCTTCGTTAACCAATCACAACGATTTTGACTATCTTGATCTTCGTATTCCAATACTTCCTCGCCTGCTGCGTGAACAATGTTCCCAAAATGGAAACCAACTTTGGAAACAAATTTCGATAAAAATCGGCCAACTTTGACTGACGATGACTCCACGAAAAATCATCGTTGGACGATGATCTTCCTCTCAAATTAAAGCTTAAAACCTCTACTTTAAGACAGTGGTTTTAAGTTGGATGCGTCGTCGTCACTGTAAGTGCGAGACCGTGTTTACCAGGCCATGTTTGTAAGACCACATTGAAAATTGCCAAGTTTGTCGAAGTGCACGGACTTCGACGAATATTTTTCCGGGATGCCGTTTGCAGTCGAACGAAGTACGATCCTTCCCCTTTAATTCAAGAGAAAAGAATCGAGGCTGCAATTTTTCTTCGCGAAGTTACAGCTGTATAAAGTGACCCTTGCGCGAATGATTGTTTACTGCTACTCGACTTTTTCGGCAACGAAAACAACGTTTTTGTTATATTAGTTATCATTGCTATCGTTTCTCGAGATAGTAGACGTATTTACAAATACTTTAGTAACAGTAATCTCGCAGTAATTTGCGTGAGATTGTTTCAGAAAATGTTGCTGATTGCTGATGTCAATATCAATGCAAGAAGTGGCGCGTGCGCATCTGTGTGAGATTATTTTATTGAGAATTGAGAACATGGAGTAAACGTTGTACAATTGATATGAATGTTTGAGAAATTAGTGTAAAATGGTATTTTCCACTGGTTGAATATTTATAGTTCATCGTTCTTTGAATGAAATTACTACGAATCCAACGGTCGTAACTACTCTGTTAAGCTTCGAGGAACGAATCCATCTTATGCGAAAGACTTCGTCTTATTCCTCATCCTGTTTGAAAGACTCGAAGCTACTCTCCAAGGGACCCGGTAATTCCAACTTAGCTGAGAATCTAAAGTCTCAAGGCGATCCTAATGACTCCGAAACGTTCCAACTTTCCACCCCGAGCTCGGAGACATTTCCCGAAAGTTTCGAGGCGCCGTAAATCTTCCGCCGCTCCTCTCTCTCTCTCTCTTTCTCTCTCTCTCTCTCTCTCTCTCTCTGTCTTTGTCTCGATTTCGAAGGATTCGAGCCAGGGATTTATTAAAGCGTCCCTTATATTCGAAAGGTGGATTCTTCGTTTGCGCGACATTTTCGTAGAATCGGAAAGTTTCGTTGCAATTTCGAGGCGAGTCGAGGCGGCCGCCTCTGGCGGTGAACTTTAAAAACGAGTCCTAACGGCCGGTTAATGCTTCATCCCGGTTTAACGCTCCTGTCAGCAGCTGAACAGGAGATTTCTTGCCACTGGGAGAGCCTTAAGTTGTTATCGATTACGGTAGTCGTAACTTCGTTGACTCCGGCATCGAATTTTTTAACGCTGAAAGCGGCTGTTAAAGGTTACCGGCACCCAACGACTTATAAAAGCATGGACGCTGCGTTTTTTTAACGTTTTGTGAGACCTTTATAACGGCACGGTACGTGCACCGTCGCGAACCAGCTTATTCAACAATTTACATCAAAGGGACCATTTAGCTGAAAACCAAGTACAGTAAATTCTCCCTAATTGACGCTCAAATTGTACACGAGAATGGACAATTTGGGAAGAGAGGATACGATTATTGGAGCTTTGCGGATCGTTTTTATAGTCATCGATAGTCAACAATTATAAAAACGGGCCGCAAGACTCGAATAATCGCATCTGTTTTTCTAAAATTGCTTTTCTCAAATTTTTCTGCACAATCTGACCATTAATTAGGGAGAATTTACTGCAATTATAATTTTTCAGATGAAGTTTCTGAAATATTTATTTTTGTAGCATTTCTTTACACTGGATCGAATTATGCAGAAATTGATTCTCCAGCTTTCATTGTTTTATTAAAAGAAATTATCTTTCTTGTCAAAAAATTGTCGGATCGAAAGTTCCATACACAGGTTTCCTCAGTGTCATGTATAGTCTTCACGCGACTAGAAGGCACCTTTGTGTGTTTGCATCCCCTCCCTCTTACTAGCTGCCCCACTGCTGCAGCTAGTAAGAGGGGGTATTTAAACGTAACGGTGCCTTCTTGTTGCGTTAGGACTATAGAAAAGCGGCAGGAAAAATTTTAGCTCGAAAACTTAATTTTTATTCGAGTTATTCTAATTTAATTTATAAATTTTTAAATTATAATATATATATTATAATATAATATTATTATATATATATATGTATTATAATATAATATTATAATATATATATTATAATTTATATATAATATATTATTATTATTATTATTATTATATTAATATATATTATATATTATCATTATTATTATATTATTAATATAGTGAAGAACTACTAAACTAATAAAGAAACAATCGAACAAAATATTCAAATAAATATGAATTAATAACATTACATTGGCCTAGCAAAAGAATTGATTTACATGGTTTATGTGTTCAACGGCTCAATTGTAAAATGACGAATCAACCTGCAAAGTCAGACTAGTAATAATTCAAAACTTCCCAGTGCATCAATCCTTAGCGAGATTTTCGATAATGTTCCTTCTGCGAGAAATTTCGAACAGCACTAATTTCAACTGTGAGCCACGAATACTGAAAATCGAACGAAAGCACTGGCACGCTAACTTCGAAATTAAGTAGCAAACGTTCGGTGTCTCCGTCGCAATCGTCTCATAATTATCTCAACAGTCAAGGAAAAGTTCGTCCGAGGAAAAATGTTTCGAGAAATATTTCTGACACAACCGGTGCCGAAGATAAAATGTCGAGCGCGTGCACGTTGTTACACGAGAACAACGGATGCACAGGGCGCATTCGAGGAGAACGCGAGGGAGGCGGATAAAAATAAATTAACCATGCAAACACGGCCCGGGGATCTCTGTGCGCGAGGGAGATCCCGATTTGAATAAAAGCGGGACCGGTATTTCCACGGCGAGCTTCTGCACTATCTTTCTCGCCTCTCGTTCCCGCGTCCATGCAAATTCCCATGATCTTTGCGAGAACGTGGAGCACTGCGACCGACCCTCGAACTCATTGTTTCGGGACGAGTACACTAAACCCGCGCTGTCCGAGATCTCCGCCTCGGGCTTTGCCTGTTCTCGATTCGTTGGCAAGGAAACCTGGGAACCGTGACGACATCCGGCATTTGCGTCCAATGTTTCAGGTCCTCTACGTTTTTTCTCTCTTTCGTCGCCGTTTAACGGAACGGTGCATGCGATATTGATAATTGTAAGCTCCACGATTTTTATTTGTTTATCAAGGATCGGTCGAGTTGATTGGAAAGATTTAACATCGAAGATTGAAGAATTTTTCTTTATTTAACAATGACCGATAGAGTTGATAGAAAATAGTGCAAATTGAATACAGAACAATTTTTTTTTATTTTGATAATGACCGGTAGAATTGGTAGAAATTGGTAAAAATTAAATAGTTAACAATTTTTGTTTCTTTAGTAACGACTGATAAAATTAAGGGAAAATGTTTCAAATTGAAGTTTTATTTTAAGTTTTATTTATTTAGCAGCGACCGGAAGAGTTGATGGAAAATACTATAAATTAAAGGATCGACAATGTTTCTTTATTTAGCAATGACCGTTGAAATTGATAGGAAATATTTGGAATTGAAGATTGTACAATTTTTCTTTATTTAACAATGACTGATAGAGTTAATAGAAAATAGTGCAAATTGAATACGGAACAATTTTTCTTTATTTTGATAACTACCGGTAGAATTGGTAAAAATTGATAAAAATTAAATAGTTAACAATTTTTGTTTCTTTAGTAACGACTGATAAAATTAAGGGAAAATGTTTCAAATTGAAGTTTTATTTTAAGTTTTATTTATTTAGCAGTGACCGGAAGAGTTGATGGAAAATACTATAAATTAAAGGATCGACAATGTTTCTTTATTTAGCAATGACCGTTGAAATTGATAGGAAATATTTGGAATTGAAGATTGTACAATTTTTCTTTAGTTAACAATGACTGATAGAGTTAATAGAAAATAGTGCAAATTGAATACGGAACAATTTTTCTTTATTTTGATAACTACCGGTAGAATTGGTAAAAATTGATAAAAATTAAATAGTTAACAATTTTTGTTTCTTTAGCAACGACTGATAAAATTAAGGGAAAATGTTTCAAATTGAAGTTTTATTTTAAGTTTTATTTATTTAGCAGTGACCGGAAGAGTTGATGGAAAATACTATAAATTAAAGGATCGACAATGTTTCTTTCTTTAGCAATATTTAATAGAGTTAACAGAAAATATTAAAAATTGAAAATTGCAAATTTTTTTTTTATTTAGCAGTGACCGGTAGAGTTCGTAGAAAATTCTATAAATTGGTCAACAATTTTTCGTTATTAAGCAATGTCCGTTGAAGTTGATAGGAAATATTTGAAATTTAGGGTTGAACAATTTTTTTTGTATTAAACATTGGTCGCTAGAGTAGCTAGAAAGTAGTACAAATTAATTACTGAACAATTTTTCTTCATTTAGCAATGACCGATAGAATTGTGTGTTGCTAAAAAATACCACAAATTAAATACTGAACAAATTTTCTTTATTTAATAATGACCAGTGGAGTTGATAGAAAACTATTAAAAATTAAAGGCTGAACAATTTTTCTTTACTTATCATTGAATTGACACAAAATTGACAAAGAATAGTACAAATTTCAGAATTTTAAAGAAATACCTTCATCTAGCCATAATTAATATGTACAGCTAATATTAAATACAAAATATTGAACAGTTTTCCTCTATCAGTAACTATTCATTTTTTTATTATTTAACATTTCTAGTCTGAGAATATTCCGAATATGGTTCTAAAAACTTCATGGGAAAGATTTGAATAAATTTCTCGAGTCTAACAACTGGGTTTATCTTCTATTCACGCAAAAATAATTCTTGAACAGTCGCAAACAAACATTTCG